CAGAGTTCGATCAATATATCACAAATTTAGATATTACATTGAAACGTTTAATTTCTTTGGAAAAATACTTGCTTCCTGAAAAAAAAAAAGTTAAGTGACATATTATAATGGAAAATTGAAAGTATAATTTCATTTTGGAAAATAAACGAAGTATAAATTTCTTGTAAATTGCTTTTTTTCTTTTTAAATTTATAAGAAGAAAAAGAAAAAAGTGCGAAAGAAAGTAGTGTTGTGAATCGAATAAACATATATTACGTAAGCTTCTTATTTTTTGTTCTTGGCATTATTTAAAAGTGTCCTTTGGTAAATTAAATTAACTACGAAATAAAAAGATCGTGCATTAGCAGCACACGCTTACATACTTAACATCGAAAGGTGTTCTAACGTTTCAGGGTCACATTTCTACATCGTTAGATCTATCGAACGTAAATAGAACTAGTAATCGCTAAACTCTGTGCTCGGGTCCTATAAAACAGTTTCGATAAGAAACGATCTGAGCTTTTAAAACGAACGAACGAACAGCGAACTTTTTTCTCATTCGAAAAAGAAGAATATTCCACTCGGAATAATAAATCATCATGGCTAATCTTAGACGTGTGTGATTGAAAACGTCCAATCCTTTTTTTTTTCTTCTTCACTTTCTATTTCTTTTTATATTTTCTTTTCGTTTAAACAATAGATTCATAGCTTCTCAACATTCATTCTCGAATAATTGTAAACTTGGCACTGTTTCAATCGAATAGCACAAATCTGTAACGATTGAAGATGAATAAACTTTCTCTGTATTTAGATATTATTTGGATAATATATTTCTCTGATAGAGAATAACTCAAATTAGAAAAAGAGTAAATTGATCATTTTGTAAATTGATATCAATAAAGAGTTAGATTCTTTTACTATATTTTCGTTTCACGTAAAATCGAGTTTCATCTTATACACTAAATTATATATATATATATACATAAATATTAGTATTATTAATAATACAATATATAGCTATTTTGTTATGATATAATATAATATAGTATAGTTATTATTTAATTTGTTTATTAATAATAAAAAGTATAGATAAATTTGATTTGATAATGATATATAATATATAATACAGTATAGTGTAGTTATTATTTCATAACACATATATATTATTAAATCATAATTATTAAAAAAAAAGTGTATCGATTGTGATGTTAAGTATTTATTTCTTTAATAAAAAATGACCCAAATAGAAAATAATAATGACTGACACACACACACACACACACACACCCATACACACACAGATAAATAAACTTATATTTTACATTGAATGTCAAATTGATGGTTGCGGTAAAATAAGATGTATCATCGTAGTGTTTAAAAAGAAAACTATTACATTTTATTGCTATTTTAGTGAAAAACACGAGGCATAAAAATTCAATCATCTTGTCACCTTCGATCATGATCATGATCATCCATCATCAACATTACTATCGCGAAGATCTAATGTGACCAGACTATTCTGAATGCGTCAATCATCGACCACCGTTAATTACGTTCCTAACCGCGACCGCAATCATGCGGACTATCTATATTTACCTTTTCGCGAACGGATTTCATCTGACCAAGTGCCGAACATTCGTATAAGCTTCCTATACATTTGATAATCAACAATAATTAATGATAATCGACCCAATATTGTGTCATTAACGATTACGACGATTGAAAAAAAGGAAAATGAAAAAAAAAAGAAACAAATGGAGAAAAAATATAAATTTATTCTAATTAAACGAAACACCATAAATTGTACATCAGATATGATAGAATTATTATCGAGACATTAGAGAAACTTTTATTGAAACGAACGAAAAAAACGTAAAGGTATAAATAATCAGGATTATTCGTTTTGGAGTGTGACAATATATACACACTCGAAAGAAAATAAAAAAAGAATAAATAGAAAACAGTAGGAAGAATTTCGTCAACTTATTGATAAAATAGTTAATTAATCGCTACACGATATACGAATACGTAGTATAGATTAATCAAGTATATGGTTATCGCGAGTGATTGAATGATAAATAATGAATATGTTTTGATAATAAAAAAAAAAAAAATAAAAAGTAGAGAAGAAGAATACAAAAAAATTAGTCGTAAATATCATAGTACTGCAAATTAAAATTGCAAATTAACCGCGAATAATCTATGCCAATTATTCAAGAATTGAAATATTATCTACAATTTGGAAATCTATTTTTTTGTGTGTGTTGTTCAAAAAGAGAATTTTTTTTTTGTTTAAATTATATAAAAGAATAAAATATTATAAATGTTTTTTTGCAAAATAATTCATTCTATTCCTATTTCAGTTTTTATTCTCAAATAAGATACATATCTATCTTACTTAAAATTGAAATATCGTTGAAATATATACGCATACTATGTCCTGAATTACATGCATAGAATTTAATATATAATTCGATCAAATACTCATGCATGAAAATAAAAAAGTTTCGAAATTTACGAGTGGAAGCTTACCACCGCACAATTACGCGCCACTAGAAATTTCAACGTATATATAAAAAATCTCGATTTCGAGAAAAATCATTTTTCAGATATTTTTATAAACATCCGTTAACAAAAAAAAAAAAAGAACTGTAGGTACGTCTTTCTTTTTTAACGAACGATAGATTCATCAGAAGATAGTATCTTTCATCGTGCGATTTAAATCTCAAATACGAGAGAGAAATAGAAAAGGGGGGGAAGAAAACGTAGAGATAGAAATAGAGATAAAGATAAAGAGCAAAAAAAAAACAAGAATGTTCGAATTCGTATTTTCTTTTAAACAACTGTATTTTTCTTTTTTAAATACCAAAGTCAAAATCGTCTATTCGAAGACAGTGAAGAATATCACTCGTTAAAACAAAACAAAAAAAAAAGAGAGGAAGACAGATGTAAAAAGAGAGAGAAAGGGAGAGAGAAAAAAAAAAGAGAGAAAATAAAAAAAGATTTTCTCCACTCATCGAAGACGAGTTTTAAAATCGGAGTCCGTGCTTCCACACGTCGCGACCATAAATCTTACTGATTATTTATCATAGCTTCCTGAAGTAAGATCGAGAAGAACGTGCGATATTTGAAGTTGACTAAGCAGCGGTTAGATGGTATTATGCAAAAATAAACCGTATGGAGAGCCACGTGCGGAGGTCGAACCATCGTGAATGAATTTGATTCCAAGTTGCGAATCTTTCTGAGAACTGTTTTAAAAAAAATAAAAAAAATAAAAAAAAAATATATATATATATATGCACAAGAGGCCGAAAAAATATATTGACACAAAATAGATTTTTTTTTGTAATATCCTTTGCAAATCTATAAAAAAAAAATACGAGTCTTCGTTCAATTTTTATTGTAAAAAACAAAGTTTAAAATTTATATGTATTTTAAACCATAGAGATTAAAAATGCAAAAAAGCTTAGAATAAAAAAAACAAAAAAGAATAACGAAAAGCGTATATAAAAGTTCGTTGCACTGACAACGATAATTTATTCTCCATGGATTATTGCAATATATTATTTTGATACTTTTAAAACACATCGAGAAATATATAATTTTTATTAAAAATTAAATTTAAAAAAAAAAAAGTCATAACTTGTAGATATATTTACAGAAGATACGTACGTGTAAGCATGCATACGATTTTCATTATTATTTCTAAAATGTAACGATACTTTTGAAAAATATCGGTATCAAAAATCACGCTGGGCTCAGATTTTGGTTAAAGAATCATTCCCCTAGCAATTTCATCCCTCTCTCTCTCTCTCTATATATTTCTATTTCTATTTCTATTTCTATTTCTATTTCTATTTCTATCTCTATCTCTCTATCATATAAACCTACGAAGAGGAACTTTATACGCCACGTCACTGTAGACATTTTCAACAAACGTCTGGGAAAGCTCAGTGACATCACAAAGAAGTAAATAGTAGGGGGATAAACGTAAGTGCGTGGCGTAAATGCTGACGTTATTTCATCGTCACATTAGTGTTTCGATAAAATAACATTTTGCTGCGCTCTTCGACCCCCGTTCGACCAAATAGATTCGTAATATTTGATTGAGACATATGATTATTGCATATGAAGAGAAAAGAGGTAGTGAAAGAACGAGAGAGGGAGGAGGAGGTGAAGAGAAAATAACACAGCATCAGGTTGAAAATTTATAAGCGTATACTATCATATAAAAACATTACGATTATAAGGTATTCTTTTATAAATTCGAAATTCAAATTTATCTTTTTAATATAGTTTATGCAGTATCTTGAAAATATTTTAATAGACTAATAAGTGAAATTGGCGAAATAAAATCTATATTGAAATTCGTTGAATTCATCGATGTCAATAAATAAGAGTTAAAATTTAGATGAAAAATTTTATTTTTGTAAAAAAAATAAATTTTCTATTTCTTTTCTTTTTTAACAAATTGTTGATAATAAATAAATATCTTGTCTAAAATTGTAAAAACTTTCGCGTTTAAATATTCCTTTTTATGTCTACGAAAGTCTACTGGATTTGACAAATTTTTAAAATTAAAACGCATCGCGCCTGATTTAATCTGTCAATCATTTAGAGAAAAGAAAAATCAATTATTGCGTGGACTATTTTCCTGTGAAATATATTGCACGCCATTCGGGATTCATATCAATGTTTGACGCCTAAATGGTCTGTATTTTAAAAGAAAATATAATCTATTTTAGGAAATATAGCCATACTAATGGATAGGAAAGCAGATTTTACATTAAATGTAAATATAGAGAAAAATAATCTGATTAATTGAATATAAAATAATTATTTCTGGTTTTAATATGCTTCAATTAAAATGTACTATATTTATTATTAGTAATTAGAGTTATTTATTTCTTTAAATAAATTGCCAGTAAATAATTTTGATTTTAAATTGCACATAGAAACTAATGTTACTAGCATACATTTCCATGTAACGGTATGATTTAATCTATATTAAAATGGCTTACCGTTGAGACCATACTTCTCCTGATTCCTCTTTACTTGGTCTAGAGACAATCCTTTCTCTCCGTCCACATTGAAATAATTTAATACCTCCTCAACGGTCTTCGCATGGCCGTCCTCCATGATTGCGTCTTTATCTCAACACTGCTTATTGTATCCTCACAATGTTTATACCGTTCATTCACGCAAACAAATTCTGAAATTGACAAAAAACAAAATATATTTAACATTAAGCGCTTCATTATTTAACTCTCACTCAAATATGGTTTAACTTTGCTGCGCAGAATAAACTTGTTATTATTAAAGCAATAATGGTAAAAATAATAATACATTCAGCAGAGTTATCTACAGAAAGCAAGTAAAGGAAAAAGTAATTATCAATGACAAGATAATGTTAGAAGTTTCATAGATTTAAACAGAATAATATGTATTTAATTTTATAAGAATAAAAAATAAGACAAACGATATAATTCAATTGTAATACAATATATTGTATATTGCTATTAAATAAGTAAAGACCTTGTAACTAATTTATATATTGCTATGTCTCTCTTTAAAATGAAATAAAAAACTCAGTAAAAAAGGATAAAATGAGAAACAAGCAAAGAAGGGTAAAAAACTTACCGAATCATAATTCATATTGATAGTAAAAAATGAGAAAAAAAATAAAGAAAATGATAAGGAATATAAACGCGTGCACACACCTCAGAACGGTGCCTAGACGCCTTCAGTCCAGGTTAGAAAGACTTCAGGAGAAGGAAGTCTTTGATTACGAAGCAGTTTAAATGGCTTAATTTTCTCTTTAATTTTCTTCCCCGTTTCGAGTGGATTTTTGGATATGAAGACAAAAAAAATGATAGCCATAAACTAGTTCAGGTATTCGTTGGCGACGTGTCACGACAAAATCACGTTACGGTTTTACGAGTATTTAGGTTAGCAAAGAACAGGAGGAAAAAAGACAGAAGTTGATTACGAGAAGAGAAAGAGAAAGAGAAGGAAAGGGACAGAAAGAGAGAGAGAGAAATAGAAAAAGAGGGAGCGACACAAACGATTCACAGTTCACTCGAAGGCACGAGAGAAAAATATAAAGAATATGTTTGTCTCCTTCTAAATCAAATAATACCACGAATTAGGAAACTTAATTCTCTGATTAACCAGTCTCGTATCACGAGGCACAGCCACTAAAATCCGAAGTGCACGTCATTTTCTTCTTGACAAGTACGGGACCCGAATTGCTAACCAAACCTCCGCTTCCGTCTAACTAAAAGTGACGAGAACGGCGAATCATCGCGCGTGCTGATAACGCCATCTGTCGGAATGCGCGATTATAAATCGACACGCACGTCTAATGTACGGCGGATTTTACGGATGAGAGTACCATTTTTTCGATTAAATATTATCATTGTTATCTTAAAATTCGTCAAAATTCATTAAAATAAGATAGAAATAGTTTGTTAAGACATTTTTAACGCGAATTTTTCGTGAATTTAATTAATAGGTATTAGGATCGTAATATCACGACGCAGGAAAACAGATACGAAACGAAAAGTAAAGAGCATGTGGAGCAACGCCATTGGCTAAAACGGCGTGATGGAGTATGACGCATTCGGCTATTTTCAGGCTTCTGCTAGGCTATTTCCTTGGCGCGTATTTTAAGACGTTAACAGGACATTGCTGTATTGTAGTTATGTAATCATTATACAGTGAGAGCTTAAAATTTCTCTTTTCTTTATCAGACTCTCGCGTAAGCATAAATTAATATAGGATATTATAAATATTTGTTCATATTTTGGATTAATATTTATTATTCATTAAAGACAATAAAGGAACACATACGGTTAGTTACGATATGTAAAATAGCAAAGCATAAATATGACGCCTGGGATTATGTAACATATGATCGAGTTAAATCGGTTTGTGGCGTTTAACCTACATCTTTAAATTATCAAGAATTTGTGCTCATGTTAATTCAAATAATTGCTAAAGTAATTAAGAATAGTTATTAATTTTATCTTTTCTTAAGTCATATCTATATACATATATCAGAACTGATAAGATTTATCGAAATAAGAGATAGATCTAAATCTCACAATCAGTGATCACACACAAGAAGTATAATATATTTAGTTGAAAATAATAATTTGTAATATTTATTGAGAATCGATTGTTAAACAAAGGCCACCCGCAATTTTATTACTATTCCTGAATAATCTTATTGTAGAAAAAGCATCGAGTTCTTTTATCGATGTTAACGAAGATCCTAGTGTCATTAAATCGTCGCAAGTTCAAGGACGATACAGATCGAATTTAAAATTCGAATCAAGTTCAGAGGTCTCGTCTAGCGAGCCAAGGTTAGCTCTAAACTTAAGCATCAATAGGAAAGCAATGCAATGAGGTTAATCGGGGTTACGGTCATTGAATCAGTGACACAAAACTATCCGCCGTATATCTAAGCACTGCCTAATCAATCTGGAATCTCTCATTTCTCAATTGATATTCAACAATATCGAAAATTTTATTTAAACATTTCGTTACCTTAAATTTCCCGACTCTTATCAACCCGATAGTTTCTTAATAAAAAAATTGATACGAGATTGATTTGATCTACTTATAACAAATTCAAACTACAATAATTGCAAATTAATGTCAAGAAAAAAATTCCAAAATATCATTCGACAGTTCCTCGAGAGAGAGAGGGAGAGAGAGAGAGAGAGAGAGAGAGAGAGAGAGAGAGAGAGAGAGAGAGAGTAAAAAAAAAAGAAAAAAAAGAAAAAAGAAACCAATTAGAAAAACAGCGAGGTGAAAGAAAAAAGTAAGTTCCGTGGACTGACCCTTGCAACACTATTGTTCTGGGCTATCCTGTTTAATGAGAAAAATGACGCGCAGTAGTACATATCAGGATATAAACCGGCCCAATGAACTTGCCTTCCGGAGAACTCGTACGGAAAATGCACGCTAAGGATGATCGCGAATAGAACGTTTGCGTGAAACTGGGAGATACTTTGGAAACAGTCTGAAAAGGACCGTTCAGACAAGTGGCTCTCCCTCGTACGCCCGGGAAGCGACTAGTCGGCCAAATCGCGCGTGCCCGAGCGAACGTTTTTAGCACTCGTCTCCGACGACTTCCTAATTATTTTGGCAGAGATGCTTGTCAGCTTCTCTCTCTTACTCTTCGATACATACATACGCACGCACACGCACGAACGCACGCACGCATATTTATGGTCTCTCTTCCTTTTCCTCACACACACACACACATACACATACACCTACATTCTCTCTCATTTTCTCTTTCTCCCTCATGAACTCATCCTCTCTTTGTTCTATCTTACAGCTGTTCAGTGATTATTAAACGCATCACAATTTCAAGATTTCTCGTCTTTGTTTTACAGGTCCCAGTCTTTGTGTATATATATGTCTATCTTTCTCTTTCTAAGCTTATATCATACCTCGTGATAGAATGATAGAATTAACCTAGATTAATATTAGCTTATTTTCAATGTTCGCAGAATATTTTACTAAACGTATAACAGATGTGATATAATTTTTTTTTTTAGTATATAGTTATTAATAATGTTAAATTATAATCTATTTATATATATACGTAGACGTGTATATATATGTATATACATATATTTATAAAATTATGTAGAAATATCGTTTCGATCTTTTCGAACAACCCGATAGTAATGGTTCTATTTGAAGACGAGATGCAACATGGTCGACGAGCTATAAAGATAGGAAGAACGGCGGTGTTTGTTGGCAAACAAGCAGAGGTCGTGTTTATATGTAACATGCACATAACACGCAGACGCTTCTAATGAGGTAATTCAGAGTGATCAAATCACTGATATATCGTATGGATTCTCGGAGAGAGGAAAATCTTTCGTTTGAAGAAACAGCTATAATAATAAGAAAGGAAAAGAAAGAAAGAAAGTAAGTAAGTAAAAGACGAGTAAGAAACAAAATATAAAGACGAATAAGAAAAATCTTTCAATCTTTTAGCTCCGATTCAAATCCTAACTATATTTAGAACGTACACATTATATATAAAGTCCAGGTTCGAAAACTTCGAACTTAATGATGCGTGTCCGATATTTTCACTTTTCTTAATACCGCGGATGTCCTGATAAATTTGTCTGAATTCTTGGCTCCCGTACGATTTACCAAAGGTTATTCAACGACTCTTTCGAAAATCACTCGAATGCATTCGGCCACGCAACAGAACAGGATATATCAATCATTTATCATTATCTCCAAATAAATGTCTTTTACCTAGCAAGAAAATATTATTAAATTTCGTATTCTCTTAGAATTATTATTCGAGATGATTTTTACTCTAATGTCTCTCACATTTTTTCGTAGCCTTGTTAAGGGAGAAACTGTTACATAATTAACGCATAGATAAAAAGGTTAGTTGAAATTTTAACACGTGCGCTTGATTCACGAATTATTCGGCATCGAATTCACTCAAATTTTCTTAAATGTAGATCTGTTTAAAAAGGATCGGTTTTGTAATCACATCACTGTTAATCTTTCCTTAGATGGTAAAATCGAAAGAGAATATGGAAGAAGGAAAAGTAACATAGCTTATGAGAAAATTAATTAGCGAAAATCATTGAGGATGGTTCATCGTTTGTGTTGGGTTTGTTGTTAATAGACATTTTAGGATTCTCACGCTCTTATTTTGTAAATCCACAAAAAACACGATCCACGCTGAGGCCAGTCCTGGTTTAGCTTTGTCTCTTTCATCGTCACAGCACTACTTTTTATCGATATCTTCCGAATTTTTATGTTAAATTTCGTATATTTCACTCTCTCTCTCTCTCTCTCTCTCTCTCTCTCTCTCTCTCTCTCTCTCTCTCTCTCTCTCTATCTCTCTTTTGTCACTTCGCGAATATCACAAAAGCACTGTTATACATATGTCGTGTCACCAAATTGACTTACCAATGTCTTCTCTTCTGATCGGTCCGTTATCTTTACGATTTAATCACCAGCACAGCAGACTCCAGTTAATTACACACTTGTGCCCAACACCGATAATAATCTTCTTGATATTTTTTTTTGTTCTCCTTCGTAATATTTTCCAAATAGAAATCGATGAGAATGAAATAACGTTTCACGATAATCGCAAATAAATTCAGGTACAACGAAATGGCGGGAATTACTCCTCCCTATGCATGGTTGTTTACGCGCGTTTCACTCAATATTCTTACATTTAAGGACAACGAAGAAACATTCAAAAGGCTACGCCTGCGCTGCTAAACGAAACGAAGCGCCGAGAGTCTCCGAAAATCGTTTAAATAGTCCATCAACGTCGCTACCTGGCGGCCAGACGTGAAACAAGGAAAAGTCTGGCCGGAAGCCAGTGGTCCCGGATGTCGCAAAAGGGAGGTAGGTTCTTTCCTTCTCTCTCCCTCTCTCTCTCTTTTTCTTCCTACCTCTACTTTGCACTTTTTCTATCCAACTTTGCAACTCGCCAAACCACCAAACTAAGTAAACATTCATTTTCAAGACTTTTCTTTATCCTTTCAAGTTCGGTTAGTCTGAACAAACAATAAAGAAAAGTCATTTTCGTCGCCATTTTTGTTCCTTGATTTCACAGGTACCGGAAGTATTTCACTAGCAAAGCTCTCATATGAAATCTATAAAGTCTATCGTTAAAAAATGACAGTGATGAAACATTGTAATTTTGATAATTGCAATATAAAAATTATACTTTTTTTTATTGCAAAAGTCTAATACAATTATACATGATTACAAATTTTTAAATACATCTAAAATTTGGAGATTTAGAGAAAAGTTAGAATGACCTGTAAAGGAATGAACAAGAATGGGCACAAATGAAGATTTGTATGTGTGTGATGTACTTTACATTAATATGCTTTTCTTGTTCTAATAACAAGATAGCAAACAATGCAAAATATCATTAAAAATGTATTTTATTATAAATATTATATATCCTATTTTTTTATTTTTTTTTGGTCGTATACTTCTACCGATAAAGTACTCAAATGAATGTTTACAATGTGACAGGTATCTACACATTTAACCTAGTCACGATGTATACGATTTAAGCTGACACGCGCACATGCGAGTAAGCAAAAAGTTACGCTCGCCTACGCTCGAGGCGCCTGCTGTTCCAAGTATAAGCGTGGCAAGGTAGAGCAAAAGAGACGGGAAGAGAAGGGAAGACGTAAAACGCACGGTCAACGGCCTGTTCTTTGCGGGAATTCTAAATACATTTAACGTACAAGCCAATGCGTTACCGTTACGGTTGCACTGTCACTAGAAAAGTTCACTGGTCCTTTTCTCTGGTTATCTTTGATAAAGTTAAATGTGCTCGACCGAATTTACTTCTGAATTTTCGTACGTATAATACATATGTAAGTTTGTTTTAAACAGTGAAATTCGATTTTCTTCATAATCAAATACGTTAATTGAACGTTACAATATATATCTTTTAATATTTGGATGATTATTAATGTTTTTATAACATCATACGTTAATTTATTTTGTATAGAGAGTTTGTTAAAATAGTTTTTATTAATTTTATTTTAGAGAAATCAATTATATACGTAGATACGTTAAAAACAAACAGCAAGGTGGTCACTATATATCTTAAAGAAAGATCCTTCATGATTGTTATAATGGTTAATGAATAACTCTTTTCATGGTAATTTATCAAACACAACACGCGTTTAAAAATTTTCAAACTCTTTGCAAACGTGAACATCAGGAGAGAAGGGAGTTAAAAATAAAATTAGAAGTATTATAGCTTTGCCGTGTGTTAATGTTGGCGGAAGAATATCCCTTGTATTTATGGACGTTTTATATTTTTATAAATGAACTGTTAAACAGCTTTGATGAGACTGACTGTCAAGCAGATTATCTTCGCCATCTTTTTATAATAGATTTCTAATTCATCAAACTCTCTCTCTCTCTCTCATCGTAAAAAAATAAATAATATAAAATAGAAAAATGCAAAAAGAAAAAAATATAACATATATATAACTATTAAAGCAATAATACAATTAAAATTAATCTTTGATACTTTAAAATAACAATTATTGTATTTGAAAATAATAGAAATGTTTAATTTCATATTCTCTTTCTTAAAAATATGTAGAAGCTTCTTGTCAGTGTTGATGGACATATGACATCAATGGTGTCACGAGTGTGGTTCGACCCAGCCAACCCTCGAACTCCCCAAAATCGAGAACATAAAATCGGCTGTGGAAAATCGTTCGGATAGATATATATTTTCTCCGTATATTGCACATATTTTTAGGTAAGCAGCGAAATAATACGAAATTAGAACGCTCGCGGCCTTTGTACGAGCCGACGTCGTCATTAGTCGTTTGAAGGCTCACGATGTACGTTACGTTACGTTACGTATGTTCCAATCTACCATCGTTCTATCCCTGGGAGGCATTATTATCGCCAGTATCCAGAATAGCAATGTAAGCGTGTGTGGCCTTTTCGACTAATCTCATCAGCTTGCTTTCATCGGTTATTCAAATTCGGATGTCCAATGGTAACCAGATGTATTTATTAATTAATCTAACTGATATTCTCGTAAAGCAATTTACTTTATCTCTTATTCTTATTTCATATTTGATATAAATATATATGTATTGTATATGTGTAACATATTTGAAAATTGTGACAAATAAATTTGTTGAGACATGTATATACTATTCGTGAAAACCAAATAGAAAATATTGCGAATCAAAGAAATTATACTTCTTTCTTCTCTCTCTCGAAAAAAAACCTTGGAAAGTCCTCTAAATTATTAATCAGCGAAGAGAACGTGCCGAAATATGTATCTTTCTCTCTTTCTTTATCTCTCTATTCATAATATATTTTATACATTTCGAAGCTGAAGGGAAAGCCGAAAGGTATTTATATTCTACGTGAGACTTTGAACCGAGCGCGAAACGGGAGGAACGAAAAAATGAGGCAACGTCATAGTCGTGAATAAATGACTGTTGTGACAGAACGGAATAGGAACTTGAAATCGTCGTTCAGAGTCTTATGTTAGCTAACAAGAGATAGAGTGCACAAGTCTTGTCCTAAGCGCGTACAAACTCTTGAAGGAGCCGAACACGTATGACAGCGAGTTTAGTCGTACGTTGACAGCTGTTGTATGTGCTCTTTGTGCCATCGCCAGCCGGTTTATCTCAAACGGTTGCTGTCTCGAGAGAAGGATAATATTAGATATGCGGCATGTAATTCATGTTATTCGTATTTGAGATTTGAATTTACGATTATGATTTTTATTTTCATCAATATTTTGTCGTTCATCGATTATCACTCCACATACCAACCATACAATCTACAAAGAATCTCGTAAATGCTGGCATATTCTCTTCCAACGATAAACAAGTTATTCATACCATGAGACTTAGGGATCTTTGCATTAAGGTTTCTGTCATGGTATATCGTCGTCGAGCAGGAAGCCCACCCACCGATGCACCTGACGAATTTAAAGATCGAAATCGATTAAAGTGTTCTGATTCCGAATGCTTCAAAGACCCCTACTTTATTCCTATTTTTCTTCAAAGTTAATACAAATCGGTATCTATTACTTATGTAAACTATGTATCTTACGTAGAGGAATAACACACACACACACACACACACACACATATATATATATAAACATCGAGCTAATTATAAATCCAGCGAGTGAGTTCGTACGTAGATACGTACGTTCATTACCTACGCATAAGCAGTCAAGTAATTTGCGATGCAGTTGGTCTTAGAAGACCTATGCTACGACGACCTACCTAAAAATATACTTAGGGGGTCCGATCAACGGCCAACTGGGCCAGTGAAGTAACCTTAGCTCAACGTCCCAAATATAGTTCGACATCTCTACATAGCGACTACCGATAGTTGGCATCACGCGTTTATATCCCGATCTGCAGATGTAACAAGGAATATAATAACGTCTGTCAGCACAATTATCTAATGATATGCCTGTCTCACGGTGATTTGTTCAGGCATGCTCGATACCTGCTATTATCCTATATATTCGATAGGATATATACCTACCATTTGAACAATCTATTTGAAAATTTATAAGCATCATTCAAATAAACAATTTTATCGAATCTTATTAAATTTTGAACAAATGTTCATTCAAATTTAAAGCTAAGCGAATACTTCTATTGTATTTTTCAAAAACATTCCGTACCTATATAATTCTAACCCCGACAAAAAAGAAAAGATTTTTTTTTCTAGAAAAATACAAAGAAGAATGAGAGAAGCTTGGTACAAATTTCTTTGGCAAAGTTTAGCAAACCACAATCCGGATAAGCTAAAGCTTGCCATCAGTTCCCACTTGGGATGATGTTCTTCGGCAAGAGAACGGCACACGACAGGTATTGTCCGCGGTCTTAAATTATTCAACGTTCTCTAACACTGGCGAGAATCTTTGGCAGGTTTCGAGCGAGTGCGACGTCGAGGAAACGCAGAAAACTCTCATCTATCATGTCGAAACGCGTTACGCGAAAATAGTCGCAAGGATATCGCGAGGTCGGGCTTGGTTTTGGCTCTCTGTGGAAGAGTAGAGAGAGAAAGAAAGAGAGAGAGAGTAAACTTTAAGTTTCTTCCGAGAGAATCTTGCAACGTTACGGAAAATGACAAACTCGAATTATCGATGTTTATCTATGTAGAAGAAGAAAACTTCAATTCATGAACAAATTCTTTATTTTTTACCCTTTTTTTTCCCCATTGTAAACATTCGATTATTTACGCTCTTTCTTTTGTCAGTTTTTCTTAAAAGAAACATATAAAAAGTATGACCGAGTGAGTCAGTTATAATCAAACTCCAGAATTCGAAATAACCAAGTTCATCGAGACGCGTTCTGTTTCCATTAGACTATAATTCACCGTGTCACACGTGTTAAAGCACGTGAGTTATGACGTAATGGCACAATGACGCGGTCATCGTAAATTCACTCGCCGAACACTCGCACTCTGTACTTTATTGCTCTTGCTCTTTATAACACACTTTTTCGTTGAAATGTTCTCGTTCAAAGTGTAAAAAAGAAAAAAAAAAAGTAATAAAGAAAATAAAAAAGAAAAAAAAAGTATTTAAGTAGTCGATTTACTGGTTGAATTAAAAAGATGATATATAATAAATTTGTATATTATATTATTATAAATAATATTTTCCTTTTGTATAATTATCGTGAATTATTATTTCTATTTCTCTCTCTCTCTCTCTCTCTATTATCATTATTATTTTATATAATATTTAACGATACGTGTGTGATCTAAGCAATGCCATTAGTTTCTCTTCAGCTTGGAAAAGGGTGTCTATGGTATGAGAGACTTACAAAGCGACTCTCACGAGTAATCTAACGGCTACCTAACGAGATAATTTGATATTACTCGATGCTCTCGCGAATATACGAGCTGAGTGATGAGTTTCAAGATGAAGGACCATACGTATCTCTTCTATAGGTTACTGATACTTTGAAAAGGTACGTAATGGTTTAAAGGCAAAATAATATCGAATGAAAATCAGTGGGTTAACGGAACGTTTCTAGGAATGATTATAGTTTAATGTTGAACAATCCTGTAAAGAATGATGATATAACTGACTGTCTCTACCCTCTTTATTTTCGGACTCAATTAGAAACTAGTATTTCCTTTCTTCTGGCTTAACAGATCACCGATGTCACGAGGGATCCTTGAAACAGGAGCTATTATGGCCGGTCAAGCCTACGCTCTAGGCCAGGGACTAGGCTAGGCTATTTCCGCTGTTTAGCTTATGGACAAAAATAGTTGTTGAGAAGCGAGTAAATTCTAAGACAAATTTACTGGGACTTTTAAGTAATATGACTACTTTCTCATATTGATTTTTCCATCGTATTAAATATCAGTATATTACTGTATATGTATGTTTATAGATAATGTTGGATCGATAGGAATATCCTTCGAACGAAATGAATTCAAAGAAATTATTTAAATACCTAGATACCATGTTTTTATTAAAAATACCCTCCCCAAAGAGACTAACGAGAAAGTTTTTTTTTTTTTTTTAACTATTAGGTTTATTTGACTAGCAGTGCCTTGACCAATCTTCGCACATCTTATATATATATATACGTCTATATGAACGTGACTCTAAGCAATAAGTAAGTTTGTTTGTATTTGTTACTGGAGCAACACAGGGAGAATATTTTTTTGGCCAATGAATCGCGGAAGTGGCTCACTCGATAATTTATTTGTTCGCTTCTCCATGTGGGATCGTTGTACGTGCTTGTAAATAATGTCGAGTGATATTCTCTTTTTCTCTATTTTTATTTTTCGTTTATCGAGAAACTACTAAGTCACATATTCTTAATAAAAAGTCAAAAATAATCTCTTTTACAAAGTAGAGTTTAAATTGATATTTGTTTTTTGAATTTGATAGAAGAATCTCTGGATCTTAAGTCAAAATCTGGGACATTATCATGTCATGACCTGAGATTGCCATTATTTCAATAATTGGCGCAAGCAATTAATCTATTTTCACCCACGCATTCACGTTATTCTCTGTCAACCGATTTGATTGCAATGTACCTACACGATAGTTGGTAGATTTCGTCTCACGAAACGCAGTTATTTCCACTGTCGCCAACATGCGACAGGTGCTCTACTGGCTTTACTACTGACTTTCCGCCAGAATCAGTTTTCATATTCTTTTATCCGTTTAGATTTTTTTTACAATATTTTCTTTTTTATTTTTAATATTCATTATAATTCAATCTCTAATACATCACATTATAATCTTTTACTGCTACAACATATTTAATATTTTAACTATTTGAGTCTAAAGCAGGGTGATCGCGTTCTTCAGATTTTATTTCGAAAAATCCTAGTACATTTCGAACGTTATAACAAATGACTGTTGAAGTAGTGTTAAACAAGTGCTATCGCGCTTTTCGGACTTTTAAAAGTCTATGGAACCTAAACGATTAATTAATTATTTAATAATTGTATTTAATTCAAATGATTATCTTTCATGTACGTATTAAAAATGAAGAAAAAAAATAAAGACAATGGTAGAAAAGAATAAAATTTGGCAAGACATCGTTAACGAAAATTTTGCAAAGAGAATTTCGAAACAATCCGAACCCCGAGATATTTTGAATCGTCCACTTGTTGGCAATAGTTATGTTGCCACATTGAAACCGTTCGTCTTGAACTATCCGATGGATAGATAGATTTGCGGTATAATTTTGGCAAGCACGTAACGGTACTTATAGCTGATTGTCCACTCAAGTGACAAGGTTTTGCAATGCTAAAACGGAAAAATAAAAAAAAAGAAAGAAAAACGAATAAATCGAGAATAAATGGGATTACAAACACAAATATTTAATTTATATATCATTTTAAACGATCTTTAATTTGGATTATTAAAATTGTTCGATCACTTATCAAACAACAACAAAAAATAAATATAATATAAATTTGAAATAAATGTGGAAAACAAACAAAACAAGATTTAAATACGTTTGTTCGATCTTACGTATCTTACGACTTATAGAAGAAACAGAAAAAAAATGAAAAAGAAGAAGAAGAAACAAGGAGGAGATACACCTCGAAAGCTACTTTACCTGCCATCGGACCCTAGTGTGACCAGGCTGACCGTCCGTCAAGACGC